GACTTGTGGCAAGCATCTTTGCGCACTCAGCTACACCCAGGCATATAAACGCGCTTTCAAATGTTGAATATCCATCAACACCACGGCACCGATAATCATGTATGTACTATGTATGGATGTGTGTGTTGTCACCATGGTGCATGGAGAGTGCACTCTCAGAGCGGCGCTCTGCATGCTTGGGGTGCGTATGTACACTTTACATATATGTACATACTCAGATGTGAACAGTAAAACACGTGCGTAATAAATTTTGTATGAAAATATTATTTTTAACCTTCAAGCGTATTTTGTGTCAATTTGACACAATTTTCAGATTCAAGTGCTTATTTATTTAATAGATGTATTTGAATTAACTAGGGATTTTGGCTCAACGTGAAAATCATATCCGACCTTTTAGTATTGCCGTTCCCTTTCGTCGGTAGATGTCCCTGTTTGGCTGTACAAAAAATTTTCCTAAAGAGTCGATCATGTATCAAATTGACACAATGGCAAAGCAAGCTTTCTTAACGGGAAAAAATTTTTTTTTGCATATGTATAAAGCAAAGAAAATCAACGTGGTTTCAATTCTTACTCGTTACAAGTAGTGCTCTTTTAAGTTTTTTTCAAGTTTCTTATAAAATGGAATCTTCTTGGTTTGATCAATTTGTAAGTGATGAGAGTGGTCCATACAGTTCTGAGGATGATGCGGATTATGAGCCATGTGAAAACATAGAAAGCCATTGTAACGATTACAACAGTGACGATTCCGATGCCGTATATTTTCAAGAAAATGTCAGAGAGGCGGCAGTTACAGAGCCAAATGTAATGCTTTTATCGAAAGATAAACAAGTACAGTACTCTACAGAGCCATTACCATTAGCTCGGCGAATTTGTTCATTCCAATCATTTTCAAGTCGTCAAGGTAATAAAATATAACGAATACATAACCCGTTTGTAAGTTCATATCGCGTTTAATCCGGTTCGCAATACTTTAGGTCCTACTTTGTTTGCCGCTTCCCAATGCACAGACGCCGTCTCCACTTTTTTGCTATTTATAGAACCGTTTGAAAATACAGTAGTTGATATGACTAACGTATATGGTTATAGACGCTACAAGGACAAATGGAATCCTGTTGACATGACGATTATGCGTGCTTANTGCTATTTATAGAACCGTTTGAAAATACAGTAGTTGATATGACTAACGTATATGGTTATAGACGCTACAAGGACAAATGGAATCCTGTTGACATGACGATTATGCGTGCTTATTATGGATTACTATTACTAGCAGGTGTATATCGATCTAATGGTGAAAATATTACAGAACTGTTTGATAGTAAGCATGGCCGCCCAATATTTGCTGCAACAATGTCTTTGCCTCGTTTCAAAGAAATCAATCGTTGTCTACGGTTTGATGACAAAGAACAAAGAGATCGGCATAGAGATAAGCTAGCGCCTATTCGGTTCATTTTTGATAAATGGGTACAACGGTTGAAAGTATCATATTGTGTTGGCGACTTCGTAACTGTGGATGAGCAATTAGTTCCATATCGAGGCAGATCACCGTTTACACAATATATTCCTTCAAAGCCGGCAAAATATGGATTGAAATTATGGGTTGCTGCCGATGCTGAAACTTTTTATGCATACAACATGCAAGTATATGTTGGCCGTGATCGTAATTGTGCTACTGAGGTGAACCAAGGGCAAAGGGTTGTACTTGATATGACAGAAGGTATTTCGAAACTAATAATATTATATTTTGTACTATACGGTACGATTTTAGGTTTGAACGGGAGAAATGTAACTTGTGACAATTTTTTTACGTCACGAAATCTTGCTATTGAACTCAAAAAGAGGCAGATTACCTTGGTTGGAACAATTAGAAAAAACCGGAAAGAAATACCTCCATTATTGGTTGATATGAAGAAAAAGCCGGTGCATCACACTGAAGTTCTGTACGATCATCATGCTCGAGCATGTATGCTCTCTTATGTACCTAAAAAAAGAAAATTTGTTTCTCTTTACTCGACATACCATTCAGCTGTTCATATCGAAGATACTGACCCCGAAAAAAAGCCAGATGTAATAAAGTTTTATAATCGCACCAAGGGGGGTGTAGACGTTTTAGATAAGTTAGTAGGTACATACCGCTGCAAAAGAAAAGTAAATAGATGGCCCATCGCTCTTTTCTGTAATATGCTGGATGTATCGGCGAGTAATGCTTACATAATTTTCGTGAAGCTGAATCCGGAATGGAATATTTCCAAAAAGGGTATAAGGAGGAGGTTATTTTTGATTGAGGTTGGCGAATCCTTATGTGTTCCAAGCATTGAGCAACGCAAGCATATGCCGCGTTGCAGTAATGCAGTTGCTGTTATCCAAAGGGTGAGAAACATAGCTTCTGAAGGCCCATCAACATCGCAGTCTTCACGCCATTCAATGTCGCGCACACCTAAGTCTAATAAACGAGCACGCTGCTATATGTGTCCTTCAAAATCAAACGCTAATATTTATAGCGCAAGATGTGATAAGTGTGCAAAATATATTTGCCCCGCTCATCGATACATATTTTGCGAAAAGTGTACAGAACCTTAATTTTTTTTTTTGAATTGGCTTTAAATCTAACAGTTATGTAAAAAGGAAAACAATTTTTTGCTACTTAATGATGAAATATTTTTAGTTCTACGTTTTGTAAAGGAACACTTTATAACAAAGTACGTATCAATAAAAAATAGTTTTATTTCGAAAATAAAGTTGAAAACTTGAGTTGAAAACGTATTGTGTCAAATTGATATATTAACGACTCATTCGTTATAAAAAATGAACTACGCTTGAGGGTTAAATACGAAAACTTTTAAACGATAATCAAATATAAAGTATTGATTTTTACTATGCATTATTTCCCTCAGTGTATAGCTCTTAATTCATAGTGGGAACAACCACGGTACTCCGGTATACGCAGGCTAATGCTTAGAGGTAGTTATTCCGGATGTTGCTGGCAGCTTTATTATTTACATCGAAACCAACGCTTAAGATTGAAATCGAGCCAGAGACTAGCTTTTTATACTTTCCCATTCGCTACCAACGGAAGTTGTCGTCGAAAACCTATTATCAAAACAGGCAGGATGTTTGCCTAATATAAATTACGCTGAACTGAAATTAGTCACAAGCAAGAACGAAAGGGCTTTCGGAGCACATTTTACGTGCTTTCGTGTTTTCTTTTCGACGAAATCTTCAGAACAAAAGTTCGAGCATTGGATAGTATATGTAAACCGTATAACAGCATCGGGGCAATTTCTTAACTAGTTTGTATTAGCTTTTGTAAGAAGCCCTCAAAAATGTTATCCATAGCTAGAAACCTTTCCGAGCGATTGTTCCAAGAACATCCTCCTCTTCTTCGAATGGACTTGAGCATGTATTCACACAGTTTAATCCTAAAATTTGTAGGGTATATGCGACCTTAAAATTATTTACCTTTCAAGTTACAGCAATTAGATGTCGCAAGCTTGATACTATCTCGCTATCTTGAGCAGCCATCCCTAAGTTATGTAAAAGTAATCATAAAAATGTTACTGTTTAATTCCTTTCTCTATACAACCAGCATTTGAGTTCCCTCACCTTTTACCCATTTATGTATGTATATGTATACTGCTTTTTCGTATTCACATTCTTTGACCCCTTTGCCTTACCAAGCACACCCGTCGCGTCGTGTAGGTGTTGCATTTGCATTTTATGATTTGTTTGTTCATTGTACGTATTCTCGCCCGTTCGTTCATTTTCCCTTCTTGGTGAGCAGTTTTTCCCAGCCCTCTTGCTTTTCTTTTTATTTTCACTAATTTCTGTTTGCAGTTTTTCGCTCGTAGCTACGCAAATCCCCTGCTCCTGCTTGTCTAATTGTTTTTCTTTTTCGCTATTTTTGCTTTTTCTTCTTGCAATTGTAAAGGCGCTTGGGTTGTTGGTTTTTCTTATGTTTATATACCACACCTTTTTGCAGCTATAATAACAATAACAATAGCAAAAGCAATAGTAACAACACATCATCCACTCAACATGGGCGTTTCTACATATGCAAATAACCATCGTATTTGTATTTGAGTATTTGCTTCATCATTTTGGGTCGGCAGGTAGGAGACGTCAAGAGCTGTGTCGAAGTAGGTGACTTGCAAGAGAGCACTAAGTTCGTAAGCTGGTGTGTGCCTACCTAAATTTGCATATATTCGCCATAAGGTTTGCATCGGTACTCGCTTTCATAATGGGTGGTATTGCCTTCGCAGTCGTAAATGTCGGCAGCAATTGAAGTAATGCACTGTACTGAGTAAAATGAAATCAATGAGAATATCGCAAAGCCGGCTAATGGCATTTAATGTGGGAAAATTTTATAAAAATTACTTGCCAGAAAATTTAGTCCTATAAAACATTTTCCATACCGTTAGTTTAGGTTGTTACTAGGGAACTTGTCGCATACTTAGTATAGTCAACTTAGGAAAATCGACGATCTTTTGAATTGTGTTTAATTCTTTTTGAATACTGATAGGCTAGTCGCAACGAATGTAAAACTTGTCATACTATGTCTAAACATAAGTTTCCATACGATTTTGCTCCAACTCAATTACACTTTACATTTTTAGACATGCCATTTTATGCATAAAATGACTTCAACCATAAGTTTTGTCTTAGAAGACCTATATTGGAGTTTATAAAAAAAAATTCATGGAAAATTTTAACCCATTCACTCTTACCAAAATGGGTCTTTTCGAAATGGNCCCCCCCCCCTCGCAAGTTCGCCCGCTATATTGTTACCTTCTATGCCCCTATGACCAGGAACCCAAAGAAGGTTTATACTGTTCTGTTTAGCCATCTCTTGCAGAGATCGGCGGCAGTCCGGCAAAATTTTTGATTTAATTGTGATGGAACTCACAGCTTTAATTGCTGCCTGGCTGCCTGGCTGCCTCTAAAGATGAACACCTCTTTACCTTTTAAATCAGCACGAAGTTCGTTTATAGTCTTCATCACAGCTGAAACACTATGGTAGTCCGGTAGTCGAAATTAATGGATCAGAGCAGGGATGCGAGAGAAGAACCCCCTCCCCATCCAATGTTAATTTTTTAGCCATCTGAGAAAATTACTATACTTCCGGGTGGAGTATAAATAGTAGTTTTTTGCCCATTTCTCCCTGCTTAGGATTTTCATAACGAAGTTTCTATCCGGAATCAGAGTTTCAACACAACTGTCTGTATAGCCCGGAACGAAAGCTACATTTTTCCAGTATGCACCAGTTACCCAGCAATCCCTATTCCCATTGCCCTGTCTCTCTTAACAGGAGGAGATGCCATCTGCTGATCCATTGGGTCTACTGGCAGAAGATCAAAAAATACATTTAAAGCATCATTTGGCGTTGTACGGTTTGCTTCGCCAATGCTGATCACACTAATCGTCTCTACTTTGCTGAGTAGATTAAGATCTGAGGCCTTGCTTAAGGCCGGCCACCATACTATAACTCCATAAAGGAGAATCGGTCTAACCGCCGCTGTGTAGATCCAGCGGCTATACTCGGGCTCAACTCAACCCCTAGCTCTTACCAATGGCGCTCTTGCACGAATATAAGGCCATAGATGACTTCTGTAGCGCTGGACTATGTTCTCCTTCGGCTGCAGTTATCAGGCAGGCGATATGATTGCCTTATTTCAAGGTCTTTTGGGTACAGACCCGAACTGAATTCTTTTTCCATCTTTGAGCCATCGGTGTAGATGGAAATACCATCATTTCCCAACAGGAGACCACCTTCCCAATATTTCCAGGCTAGAAAATGTTTGGGAGATTTAAATCCGCTGCGTGTCCGTGGTTGGCCTGCTATCTACTTCTCACGGCGCCTGATATTCCGAGGCTTCCGAATCTCTATACTCTTCCAATTAGTATTCTTCTATTGTTGCTTTTATCTAGAATTTTCCACAAGACCGGCGCTCCGTAGGTCAGATGACTGTGACCATTCTTTGCTCTTTCCTCTCTCTGCGCCTATAGCTACTTTTCAGCATCGATTCGATCCACGCAACTATATACTGCCCTTCTAATTGCTTCCTTTTCGACGTTGTTGAAAGCCACCTCAACATCTAAGAAGCTGGCTGGGATGTATTCCCTGTATTCCAGTGACTTTTCAATTGTACCGAGGCCAGCGCTATCGACTGATCAGTTCATACGATGGGCATGCTGCACTATGTCCATTGCGTGGATGCGAGTATCCTCCCTTAGGAATAGGTCAATAAGTCTTTTAAATACATTTAGTATGAACAATGAGAGGCTTATTTGTGTGGTTTAGTTTTAGTGATTTTGGAATAAACATCACCCTGGCCTCCACCAAATCTTTGGGTACATACCCATATAAGCCGAGCATCTAGTAAGTACACTCATTAGTTGGGTAGCACACTTTAACATGAGTGTTGTAACATGGCCAACTCTACCTTATCGGGTCCCGTGGTCTTGTTGGGATCAAACAAGTTGATAGCCCATGTTACCTTCTCCTTATCCACTATCTCCTTAATACACCTTTCCTAGGCACGGGCTGGGATAGATGCCTAAAATATCCGTGCTCCATGGGAAGTGTGCGTCCGTCAAGGTTACCAGATTCCTGGATGGAGTCGATTCATTAACAATCTGGCCTCCTGATGCTTCCTATTTTGATGCTTCATTTGTTGACTTCAATGTTCAACAGAACTTTTGCCAATAACCTTTCTTTTGAGCCCTTATTTGACTCTTTACTCGTTATAGATTTCCCTATAATTTTCCCAATCCTCCTCACGACGGCTGCATTTGGCTCTATTGAAAAGTTTACTAACCACATGGTTTAGTTACAACATCTCATGCATGATTACTCACATTACCCAGAGTAGAGAACGCGGACACAAGAGTAGAAATTGAGTTAGGTAGAACAACTTCAGCTGGATACCCCCATGCCCTACTATAGCCCACTGCACCCGATGTATATAGTCCTGCTCCGTTTTTGATGTGAATTTTATTTTGTTTGAATAAAGAATGAAATGAAATCTCTCCAAGACTGTTCAACTCTTCAGCCATCTGTTGCAAAGTGACATACATTAAATTCTCAATAATAAATAATTTTAACAAACCGAATGCATAAGCGCATAAATTAACGCTGAAAGCAATCAAAGCATTCGCTATTTTAATGAAGCATATACGCAAGTTCACAAAAAAAAACCTTACCCAAAAAACACTTCCGATTTCGAACAGAAATGTGTATCCTGATTATGCAAATGAGCTAACAGAGCTGGGCCGGTAAATGCATTTCATATGCAAATTTAAGCAAAAGCAAACAGCGCGAGACAAAAACGGCGCAGAGAATGCAAATAAAGGATGCGCTTACACATTTTACACCTTTATTTGCAACAACAATAATGCCATGGCAATATTTGTACAGGATCAGTAGTGCAAAAGGATATAACAATGCATACGAATGTCATAAAAAATGTGCCACCAAATTTGGGTACGATGTGCGATCGTTAAGCGGCCGTTGCATGCCACATTGAAGAAATAATAATGCGTGAAAAAAATGTCTTACGAAAAAAAATCTGTAGGGTGATGAGGGTTAAGGCAGGGTGTAAATCGAGAACGTACAAGCACTCAAGCATACATACGCATAAAAAAATATTCATTCCGCCACTGCTGATCGATAGTGCGACGGTAGTGTGCGCATCCAGCGTTTGTGTGTGCGTGTGTGTGCTTCTTCCGACGTGGCGTGGCAATTGGAAAAATATGCAAATTAGTTTGAAAAACTATAGATACGTATTTGGTTTTTTTTTGCGAGCAGCACAGAAGGGTGTGCACAGTTGAAGAAACGCATTCGACGAAGTTTTCATTTGCATCATTTGCAACGTGTGTCACATGCAGTCATGCGCGTGAACATACATACATACATACACTAAACAATTTTACACATACATAGACCCTTCGTCTGACAAGGAAATAAGTCCCTGAAAAAGAAACTAAGAAGTTGGCAGCTTTGCATTGCAGGAAATTGTATACCTTTCACTGTTGCTGATTGCATTTCACTTTGAACTAACTGCAGAGGTCACATTTGTGATAAAAGAAAACTCAAAATAATAACAACAACCACACCAACATTGTCGCTTGAACCAACTCCTAAGCGCGTCACTAAAGGATGTGCGCGTCAACACAATGTTGAGACCAATGTGCCCTTAGCACCTACATACATATTTATGCACATATACGTCGGCTGCCCGCATAATTATTTTCATTTGCTTTTTTGCTTTAGTTAGTGCAACATCTTCCTCGCAACTGGAAGTGAAAATTCGCTGGAAATTCGATTTCCCCCCAATTTCATCTTTGTGTTTTTCTTTTTTGCCGTTGTGCTGCGCATGTCCTGCGAGAAGTCGCTGTTCTCTTTTAATTATGCACTTTTTTCACTATTTTACTTTGACTACGCTTTTGTTGTTACTGAAAGCGCTACTTACATATTCGGCTCCCTCGTTCCCTCCCATGTAGGAGTTTTCAAGGGAGGTAAGGCAAAATGATTCTTCGAGGTACACTGACTTCACTGTCAATTCTTGATAAGCGAGAGTTTGAGAAAAAAAGGCTTACAATGAAAATACCTTTAATTAAATATAATGATCCAAACCTATGTTCGTTTGTATGTATGTATCTATGCATGTATAAATGTTACTAATTTGCATTACATATGGTTTCCTTGGGTATGGTTTCAAAGAAAATTTGTTTTTACCTGTAGATGTTTAAAAAAAAATAAAAATAGCACTGATGCGCCAAAATTATGAAGTGTTTAAAGAAAAAGGCTTTCACAGGTATTTAAAATGTCGGGTCTGCTCGCTTGACGGAAAGCAGCAAAAAAATTAGCGCAAGAGACAAGCAGATGCAAGTACGGCTTACATTAGATGTACATTAGATTGGGTCACGAAAAAAAGTTGGAAATTACCCCTCTAGTTTGGAAGCTTACTTTAAGAGGGTTTAAGGGCCCTTGAGGAGTCCTAAAAATGTCGAAAATCCAAATTTCTTGCTATCATTGACGTAGAATGCGTCGTACGTTTCGGTATGGATGCCATGCTTTTTGTGGTAATACTTAGAGTCTCACTAAAACGCTTAGAGAACGTGAAGTAATGAAACAAATAGATTTATTTTTGTGAGTGATCATTACGGTTTCTGTCGCAGAAATGGCGCGAAATATTGGCCTATTTTGGGGAAAGTTTTAATTCTTTAACTCTTTGTCTACCGGTTGGTAGCTCCTTCACTTTGCTTATTTTCATGAAGTCTATACTTTTTTATAACGTAAATTTTTATTTTAATAATTGTTATTGCTATTGTAAATCTAGCGGGAAGTACTAGCCCGGGTCCGTTGGACCGACTTAAGGTACAGAAATTAGTGAAAAAGTTTGGTTAGCTATTTCCTTTCGTTTAGGACATGGAAGGTATTGGTTGAAGTCTCCTAAGTATGATTATCTGACTAAAATATATGGGTATAACTTATTTTCCATACATTTCATAATAACCTCACAAAAGCAGTGGGGCTATTGATTGTCGCTACAATGTAAAATGTAAGCAGAATTTTGTCAACATATTCTTTTTGATACAGAAATGCAGCAAGATGTTCTAGGAGTATTTCTGGATCAAAAACAAAATTTCTTTCTCGTGACATTGAGAATTGCAAATACCTCGCTGAGAGAGTACGACAGTCGTGAATATTTTCCACGTCACCTTCGGTATAGTCTCCAGATCCTGACCCTGTATCAGTTTTGTAGCCATCTGCTGGGCTTAGGATTGGGCTATGCTAGCAGTCAATATCAAGGTAGTCAACATTGTAGTATCTCTTCTGAAAAGGTATTTGCGGCACACAAACGTGTAGCAATGGAAATACATTTACGTCCAGCAGACGGATTCTAACATTTGCTGCCTCTAATTTTGATCGCCAAAAATCTCCAAAGGAAGAACAAGTGCGCCTAACAGCACCCAACATCTAGTAACATGCCTCTCATACTGCCTGGTTTGGCTGATTACACATTGAATCTGTTACTTTCTCATGTTGTATACTTTCAGGCCCTAGTGCGTTTTGTTCAGAGAAGAAAATTTAGCGAAGCGATTGTCAGAATTCCACTGGAGAGCTTTGCTTCTATCAAGCATATAGCGCTCGTTCTTCAAAGTTGATTAAGAGTCTGCTCTATCATACCAAAGATACAAAGCTGAGGTCTAATATATAGATGTAAATCATTTGGATTCCTCTAGCTGTCAAACTAAACGTCTTACTGAAGAACTGTTTACATTGGCAGAACTTTGTTAAGGCTTTGGAGCTCATTTATTCAACTTGAGACTTCCACAAAAGTTTACTGGCTAGTAGTGTTCTTTAAATATACAAACGTTGGTAACATTTCAATGCTTAGTGTAGAAATATCACTAGCTAGCACGACCTTATTCAAACTAATAATGTCGATTGATGCTACTTTGGAGTACTCAGTATCGATACTTCCAAAAAATCAGGTACTGTCAATCCTTTTGATACTGCCCAACACTATTAGCTAGAATCAGATTTAAATACTTCACTTCGGAAGAAATCTGAACTGCGATTTCTCTAAGTGTAGGGGAAAACGCCGTCCAAACTTTTCCTTTTAGTGAATAGCATAACGGTAATTTTGGTTGAGTTAGCGGACAATCATTTCTAACTACATCAAGTGCCAATCACACTCAGAGTTCTTTATACTTTCTTGAAAAGAACTGAGAGAGTAGGCACATTTTATGCATAGACATCGGCCTAGTTATTTGAACCGTGACTGCTGAAAGGAGGGGAATAATTGACAAGGCCTCAGGGCAAAGGAGAAAGCACGTCTTAGGGAGGAAAGCCGCTATGAATTCCACGCACAATATGTTAGCCTCCTTCTGTCTGAATCCTGATAACCCTATCGCAGGTAGTATTACCAAAGAAGCTCTCAATGCCGACAAAATTACGAAAAACCAACTCTTTCTTAGTAAGGACATTTCTAATTCTGACAACCATTTTATGCAGAGCTGTCTCACAAGATTGGTCTGAAGATTTTAGGGCTATTGTAGTTGTCCCTACCAACCTTTTATCTGCAGGCCAACGCTTTCGATGTGAGTCTAAGAAAATCTTGTTGAAAATGGACCCCTAATGTTTATAAAATTAAAGGTGCGAATAGCCATGGAGCCATGACCAAATACTAAGTGTTACAACAACTTGCCAGCCAGTAGCAACGAAAAACAATACCACGCGAGGATAAAAGAAGTTTTCGCAACTGTTGAAGCTTTAGCTGCCATTGCAGAGTAACAAGTGGCCGTAGATTTTAACGGTGATGCTATGCCGCCACTCGGACTTACTGCCCAACAATGAACCAACCAACCAACCGAACATTTTGCTGTAATGGAACAGATTGTCGGCAAAAACTGGACAGCTAGGCAGCGAAGAAGAAAGAAATCGACAAGAATAACAACGGAAGCAGCAGCAACAGCAACAGCAACAGTACCGGCAAAAATTGCAGTCAAAGAAACACTAATAAATGGTTGAAGTAATAGTAGTGGTGGCCATGGTGTTGGTGGAGTCAATAACAAAGCGCCTTGGCGAGGCGCTAAAGCAGCGAATCAGCTTGGTGGTGCAGGCGCAGCATAACATTCCGTTTTAGTGCGAGGGCAAGAAGAAAAAAAAAATACAGGACACTATCCAAATTAAACGGCCAGCAGAGAAACTAAGCAGGCGGGCAATGAGTGGACAAATCAGTTGGTGGACGACGGTCAGTAGGTGACGCGCCTTGACTTGCTGGGCGCTAGGCTATGAAAAGTGAAAATTCAAGAAATTAACAATACCGGCGGCGGAGTCAACATAGCGGCAGCAGCAGGCACTTTGTTTGTGCATTTGCTGCGAAAGATGAAAGGCGCATCAAGGAACTTCAGTTCATATTTGGTTCGGTTAAGGTGCGCGTCTGGCATTTCTTTTCTAAAACATAAGTGACTGTGAAATTTTTGAAGACATGTGAGAAAATGTTGTGAAGATGACTGTCAAGATAATTGTAGTGCCATTTGTTAGGTGATGAACAAATAGCAAACTCACACAAACTGCTGCCGACTCGGCGGCTTGGCTACGAAAACTGTCGGAAAATACACTATACATATGTACTACATATGTATGCATGTATGCAGATATGAACATGTATATATATATATATATATATATATATATGTGGGACCCAATGCAGCGACAGTAAGCGCCAGGACTCGCCTAATGTGATATGAGGACTTAACTCAACGTACACACACGCATACATATTTAGATATGAGTGTGTATTTACCTACTCGTTTGAATGTAGGAGCCTCCTAACACGCATGCAGTCTCCTACGAGTGTAAACTACGTTTTTATCCATTCTTCCAATGCGCTCTTTTAGCTCTCTGCCAAAACGATTTTCTAACTTTGGGTTTTTTTTTGGTTTTTTTTTTATGGGTGCTGCCTAACGTATGGAAAGCTTGAATGTTGAGCTTAGTGTGTTTAGATAATGTCAGTGACGCGCTCCGCATATGACGTGCAGGATATTTATGTGCCGTTAGTTTGTATATCCAAAAGTGGGTGGAGTAATGAGTGCAGTGAAAATTTTGTATACTCCTACGTTTTTAATACACACATATGGACGTGTGTGTATGTGTGTGTGTGTCTGCCAGTTAGCGTATATGTATGAATTAGTGAACGCATTCGCATTCAGGGAAAATGCTCATAAATATGCGGGGTGATAATTAAACGTTTTTCTCAACAACTGCAATTTGCCGTCGCTGGTGTAGTTGAAGATTTTGCCGACGGCATGAAAAGTAATGAGTAAAAGAATGACCACAGTTTACGAGTTTGCTTGTGTGCGCCTAATTTTAGTTTTAATTAAGCGCTAATCAAACAATCATTTTTTCAATCAAATGAATCCTGAATTTAAAATGAAAAATAACTATACTTATTTTGTCTATATATCTAACAACCGGTTTCGATTCTGAATTTCATTTTTGTTTAAATGGCTACCGCCATTCATTTAAGTTTTAATTAAATATGATAATTGGCAGCTTTGATTAAATGTTTTGACCACTGATTTTACAGAAAAAAAGTTTCTTTTTTCGTTTTTTGTTTCGAATGTTCAATTAAATCATTGATTAAACCGATAAAAGTTACAAGAAAATTTACCGAAAATCAAAATAAATTGAATATAGATTAGATTAGCCTGAAACCAAAAAAGTATACTATTATGTAAAAGGCTTTCTAAAAAGTTACTATTTAAAATATGCCAACGTTTAAAAATATGCAAAGTCGTAATTCAACTTTTATGAAAACGTAAACAACTGCCATTTCCCATCCAATTTTCTATTTAAAAGTATGCTCGTTTAACCTTTTAAAAAAAAAGAACCATTTTCATAGTCTCGAAAAAGTTCAGAAAAATGTTCTCACTCATATATAGGGATGAAACGATACGAATTAATACAAGTACATACTCGATACTTTTCGTTCGATACCAAGTAATTTTGGCATCGATACTTTTGAACCAAGTACTGAGTAGGCATCGAAGAAAAAGTACTCGTATCGAAACACGATACCAAGTTAAATTTTGCTCCGAAATTTTTTCCTCTACGTTTATGCCTAATATGAATCGCCCTGTGCTTTTTGGCAACTCAGGGGCAAATTCACAGTGCGTATTTAACTCGGTGCATGGATACATCGACTATTTGTAGATCGAGTAGGAAACTTACGATGCATTGAAGCAAAACATCGATATTTTCGATGCATCGATGTTTTTCCGACATCCCTAGCTGCGTTACAAGTGCAAGGAGTGAAATGCTTTTAGAGCTTAGCTTGTAAATACCATGATATAGTAAAAATGTATACTATTATGATATTACTTTTTACACATGGTATAAGTGCAGAATACCTCACCTCGGAAAAAACAGAATAGTGGGTGTGGTTGGCCCTTTTTTCCTAATTTTAATGGTATAAAATATTTCCTGTGCAAGTTAATATTATGGGCGGTAGAGTAGCGAAAGGTGGAAAATTCAAAATTTAAAACGCAATTATTTCCCAAAATACTTAACCGACTTTTACGAAATGAGTATCACTTTCACTTCATAATCAAGTAGTTTTTTTTATTAAATATAAGACAATATTTTAATATATAGCGAAAATTCGGAAAAAACGCACGATTTTTTATCCAAAATTTTCGCCCGCACAATAGATTGTGAAATTTTTAATACAAATTATATATCAAATGAAACGTAATTTTTTCCTCTATTTAAATATTCTCGAATAAGGTTAATAACACATTGTTTTTTTATTAAGAAACCGTTTTTTAATCATTCTTTTTTATATAGATACTAAATAGATATGCATATCACGAAAGGTATTCTAATTACAGTGGATCACAAATCTTAGTTGGGTTTTTGTTCTCCAGACGCCACTATCCAATTTATATGCAGAATTGCTCGGTGATTCCGAAGTGCGAGGTAATTTTTTTTCTATGGATACGTTCTCGAGATATTTGCAATTTACCGTTATCCAGCTTAAAACAAACAATGGTTCTACTTATATCTTACGAACCAATTTAACAATCTTAAAATGAGATACGCCAAATCAAAGCTAATAAAATTCTCCATAAACCATATATAAATCACTTTCCGATCAGTGCAGTTTTTTTTATTTATTTTTTTATTAAAAAATTAAAAAAATTAAACTTTAACAGAATAAAAATTTCAAAAGTAACAGGTTCTGTGCCGATTTTTTGCATTTGCGCTAAATCCTGTTCTGTTACAAAAAAATCAAGTTACTAATGAAGAAAAGCGATGGATAATCGCCGAGCAATTCTACATAGCATTTGGAAAGTGGCATCCATTGAACATTTTTGCTGTAAACCAGTGCAGCGATGTTAATTTTATAAAATCGGTAAAGTATTTTACGAAATATAGGCATTTTAAGAAAATTGGAAATTAACAACTTCCTGTACTACACCCATAATAATCATTTGCACAACAAAATTTTATATACCCTTGAAATCAGGTCAGGCCCACTACTCCATTTTTCCTGTGGTGAAGAGTCGCTATTCTGCACTTGTGATTGCAATTTTAAAAGTAATTTAAGTATAATTGTACACAAATATGAAAAATATTATAGTTTATATCCTTTAACCCTTTCCCTGCATATGTACAATATATTGTACATTTAATTTTTTGTAACATTGGGAGCGTGCTACTAAAAATTTTATTAATATTTTTGAAAACAAATTAAACTCTATGAAGTTTTAGAATGTCCCGAATAGTTTACGTAAATTTCAAAATCGATAAAATTTCACAAATATTTTTAGAATTTAATTTAAAAATATTCCATTTTATTAAATTCCAGCCACACGCAAGTTGTGGTAATTTACTGTAAAAAAAATGCGTGAAAGTCAAGTAAAATCGCTAACAAAAGCACATAGTATGGAAATATAAAAAGCATTTCATCATATAAAATTGCTAAAAATAAACTATCATGATTTAAAATATGTTTCCCGAGTGGCAATATATTGTAAATTTACACTGAAAGGTTGTAAGTGTCTTGTACAATATATTGTACAAACGTCCGCAAAGGTTGCAGTTGAACAGGCAATTAGGGTAGTTTTTGCCGTGGTTTTTGAAAAGCTTGTGTGCTATTGTTGCAGTAAAGGGTAGGTTTTTGATTTTTTGATCTACTAAAGGCAGAAAAACCGGAAAGGTTTATTAAAACGGGTCATTTGTATTTTGTATTGTAATTGTATCTGCAATTTTTCAAAATGTCTTTATTTAATTCTCTTCTCATGGAGAAAATTAAAAATTTTTTAATGCAAATCTTACTAAATATATTAAAAAAAGATATAAAATATTCATTCCAACATATCTTCAGTAAAATCAATTATTTTGTACATACATGAGTTCAATTTCAATGAAATACAAGTTTTATTCCGTCGAAACTTAGTGAAATATTTATTGAGTTTTCTTGAGTGCTTTTACTCCTTTGCGGGCTTTTGTACAATATATTGCACAAATTTGAGGTAGCCCTAATAGCTACCCAAAACAACTTTTTAATTTTTTTTAATTGTGGTATTATGAGGCTCTATGAACCTTGTAATTAAGAGGAACAATTTTTATATCTATCAGGGATGGATTTAACGGGAAAGGGTTAAGGTTATTTCTTTTGTAAAGTCAATAGCTGTGCATATAATAAAGCTCAATTTGTTTATCGAATGTATCAATAAGATTATCGAATGTACCACTGGTTTTTTCCACTTAGGCGGTTATTGTTTATGACCACAGATATATAGGGGTCAATCCATGCAAAATTTACACTAAACATTTTTTCCGCTCAAATTACTTTTCTTGGCATTCTTTGGGTAAAATTATGATACTCGTATTTTTTGATTTTCGTTTGACACACACAGTTTCCGGGATATATTTTTTGAACTTTAAGCATGTCAAAAAAGGACTCTTTAATATATGCTTCCGCGCAAACAAGTATTTTAATAAAAAAAACTTAATCATCGTACCATTATGACTTTTTCTTGGCTTTCATATGAGGATTACGAGAAGACGATGAATAATTTTTTAATACAAATAATTGGATATTAAAAAAATAAACAAATTAATTTTTTTTTCAAATTTAGTAATGATTTTTTAAAATTTTTTTTTGAAAGCTGTTCATCAAATACTTAAGTAAAACCTGTAAAAATTTCAGAACAGGTAGTTCAAAATTACGCTTTCAATCAAATTTTAAACAACTGCGAAAGCGCTAAAAACGCGCGCTCTCCTTGGCGTGCACCATCTATCCAAGAATGATAGAATACAAGATTGCGCCGATTGCAGCAGAATTCGTGAGAGTAATTTTAGTGTGACGTCATCGTAGAGTTGACAACTGAGAGCGGCGAGAATGAGGGCGACTAGTGATGTG